TTACAAGTCCTTAAAATATACATATATTTAACTTATTGATACATTACCTATTACATATACACCTTTAAGTACTTTAGCCTGTTCACAATGCATGCACAATGCCAAATCATAGGCAAAAATATGAATTTTAAAACCTTGGACTGTTTGGGGGGGGAGGGTGGGGGTTGATGACAAGGCAGGGGAAGAAGCCTACTGGAAACATGTGCAAATCATTTGGTCATACAGAGTCCTTTTAACATTTTTCTCTCTTCACAGAGAAAAATGGGTGAATATTATCTGTCCAGGTTTTGTTTCTTAAGTGATTTTACTATTTTCAGCTGTTGTCTTTCATTTTATTTTGAGAAAACATGAGATTTAAAAAAAAGAGTCATGAACTTATCTAGATTTAAAGTGCCATGAAAGATGCAGCCTCTCTTAATTCTATCCTGAGCAATAAGAAATAAATAAATCACCAGTGATTTACGGAATAATGAAAAGCAGAGACAGCTTTAAAAGTATTGTTAGTCATCGCAACTTAAAAAAAAATACACAGATTAATCATTCTTTTCTGTGCCATTCTTCTTGCGTGTCAGCTTAACTCAAGAGCTGTCACCACAAGCATTACATTAAAGTACTAAACTGACTAGCAAACTCAGGGCACTTGAAAATTCTGCCTGTTAACTTTGGCATCACCTATTTTGAAGCCACTCTGGAATACAGAGTAGAACACTTTTCTGCAGGCAACGCAGATCTATTAAAAAACATGACCTGTGACAAAAATCAATGTGCTAATCTCAAACCAAACAGCAGTATCAGAAGTATAAAACAGAGATAACTTAAGATAAAATGTCCTCAAATTTACTTAGACTAGCTGACAGGTTTGGAGGGGTGGAGGGGCAGGGGGGAAATCTGCTCACATCTACTTTAACAAGGCAAAAATACAACCCCCTGGGTGACTTTTTACCCAAACACATGGATACTATTTGGAATGGGATTGAAATTTTACAATACTGAAATAGAGGGGAAATACCAGGAATGTTGTTAGAACCTAAATAAAGCCTCCTATTTCAAAGAAGGTTCACTTAACATTATGAAAAGAAAGTTTAGGGGAGAAAAAAAAAATCTTATCTTTCATCTACAACTACACTGTCCAGAAAAAAAGTACAAAGGGAACAAAGAAAGCTGCGGAAGGTTTGGGAAACCAGATGGAAAATTTAGGCAGGTTCTATTTATCTTGTCAATAACAGTATAAATAAAAGGTAGCCTTTGTATCAAAACACTTCCTCTGCCTTTTCTTTTGGTGCCTGCTAACATGCATGTCAACCATGCTGCTATACTACCTACGTTTAGAAACACAGTTCTAAGCCCACCAGATGTATGGTGGATTGTGACTATTGCACCTGAATTTGCTGTGACAGCTTGAGCCAGAGAAGCTGCCCATGATAAACCTTAGCTCAGGACATATCTGATGGGTATTGGAGGTTTGGAAGTTGGTGGCTTCTTTACTCAATTAATGTGACTTAACCAGCTTGCAGAGATGGGAGATTGCATCCTTACCCCAGGCAAGCAGAGGGAGAGAGAGGCAGGGGCTGGACAGCAGTGGAAAAAGCTGCTGCTTCAACTCTCTCTAAAGCCCTGACACTGAACAGCTGCCACATGTGGCTGCCAGGAAGCCGGCTCTAAGCACTCCTACAATCTCAATCCAGAGTTTTTTTCTTCTTTTCTCTCTCTTGTGAAACCCTCCTATAGCCAAGTCATTCCTCTCACTCCCCACCCCCAATTCACTATAACCTAGACTGCACACTGGAACAATTTGGGGCTTTCATTCTGCAGCACTAGACAGTGTTTCACTGGTGCCTGACTCCATCTAAATAGAATCATAGAAAAGGAGGGTTGGAAGGGACTTCAGGAGGTCATCTGGTCCAACGCCCTGCTCAAAGCAGCACCGTCCCCAGCTACATCACCCCAGCCAAGGCTTTGTCTACCGGGGTCTTTGAAGCCTCCAAGGATGGAGATGCCACCACCTCTCCAGGCAGCCCGCTCCAGTGCGTTACCACCCTCCTGGTGAGGCGACGGACCATCTCAGCTAAGGAGCAGCGAGATGCATTCACAGAGATTTAGGAGACCAAATGATGCACCTATATGGGTCAGCGTGGCGGCATGTGCATGTCCACATGGGTTCAGGGGCTCCAGCTATGACTGAGAAATGCAAGCAGTGCTTCCCACCATTTTTATTGATGCAAGTGTGCCTTGGGCTGGAAAAGGTTGGGAAACCCTGACTAAAAGTCTTGAGGGGCTCCAGCTACTCTATAGAAGTGTGACCGTCTGGTACTCCAGGGAGAGCCCCCCACCTCCCCCGCCTCACACACACACACCCTTGCCAAGGGCTTGGGATGAGCGCACCCCAGCGAAGAGCCCTAAGGGCTCCCCACGGCTCCACAAACTTTCCCAAGCCCGCGTCTCGGCTTCCCACAGCAGTCCCCGAGCGCGGCTCGGCTCGGCTCAGCTCAGCCCAGCCCAGCCCGGCAGCACGTTACTGGGTTACTCCTGGAGGGCCTCCCCACCACATGCCAGGCTGCGCCCCACGTGGCAGCCAGGCCCGGCGCCCCTCACCTGGGGTTGGTGCTGTTCCAGTAGACGGCGTAGCGGTCGGCCACCGCCTTGGAGCCGGGGTCCTGGCTGAACACGCACATCCACAGCACCAGGAGCACCAGCGTCAACATCTCCACGTGCAGCATCGCTCCCCGCCAGCGGCGCGGACAGGCGGCGGCGAGCACCGAGCGAGGCGGGCGAGGAAAGGAGCTCGGAGCAGGGCCGCCCCCCGCAGCGTCCCTCACGGAGCGGCCTCAGCCCGGCAGGGGCAGGCGGCAGCCGAACGGCGCATCCACCGCGAGTCCCGCGCGGAGCCGGCAGGGAGGCATGCACCGCACCACACCACCCC